ATTTAAAAAAAACTAGCTTTTTGAAATTATAAAATGTTTTTAATAATATTTTAACTAAAATTATAGCTTTTTTTTTAATTATAAGCAACTTTATTATTATGCTATTAATATTCTCTTTTAATTTAATTAGCTAAAAGAAAATAGATAATAATATTAGCTTTCTAAAATATATACTTATTTTAATCTCGATTTATTAGCAATAAAGCTATTAATAAAAATATTTAAATATTGTTTTTTTGTTTTAAAGTAATTATTATATGCATTATTAAAGGTATATAGATTAAATCAATAATGAATTGTTATTATGCTTTATAATAAAGATATTTATACAGAAATAATTTTAATATTAACTTTTATTTTACCTAATTGTGTTTTTATATTATAAAAAGAGAAAGTAAACAATTTTACTCTAAAATTTTCAATTATTTTCTTAAGCTATGCCTTTAATAAATGAGTTTCTAATAATATATAAAGTCCTATTTAGAATTTGCTAATTTTTAATTAAAGCTAGATATATAAGAAAAAAAAGCATAGCTTTAGCGCTAGCTACTTTAACTAAAATTATATCGAAGCATTTAACTATTACCTAAGCTTTTATTTATTATATAAAATTAAGAATTTTAATAATACTATTGTTAGTCTTTTTATTAAAGAATTAAAAGTATTATATTATTATTATATAATCTATTTAAAAAGCTATTATAACTTAATAAAGTTAATACATAAATCATAGCTTAATATAAATAAAGCGTTTAAATTAATTGGCGCTTTTTTATTTTCTAGCTTTTATTTTAGCTAAATAGTTTTTAAACTATAGCTTTAAATTAAAAATAATTTTTAAAATACTTTTTTTTATCAAAAGCTTAATGATATAATTACCTATTTATAAGCAAGAGTTTATTTTAACAATTTTTCTTTAATTTTATATAAAATGTATAAAAATTATTTTATTACTTTTAAATATAGCGCTATTTTTTTGCTTATTAAAAAGCTTTTAAAATAACTTTATTATTTAATATTAATATATTTTTTTAAACTAATTTTAAGATTATTTATTAAGTATAGTTATTTACAAATTCTATATTGCCTCTTTTACTATCAATCTTTTTCTTTATTAAGAAGGCATTAAAGAAAATATATAAGATTAGAGCTAGTATAAATCTTTATAAAAAACTAAATTTAGTAAATATAATATAATTTAATTTTGTTTTATTAGTAAATACTATAGTAAGCTAATTAATATAAAATAAGTTAATTTATACAATTATATAAGCTAGAATTTCTTTTATATATAATTAATTAGTAAAAACTCAATAAGAAACGCTATTATAAGCTCTTTTTATATTAACGCTAATAAAAGAAAATACTTTCTTTTATTATTATACTTTAAAGATTTTCTTAATAAGAAAAAGCAATACTTAATTATATAATTATTTTAGCTTAGCATTAAATTAGATTTTTAAAAGAAAATTAAAAGTCTTTATTTAATATAAGCTTGCTTAATATAATTAAAAGAAAAATAAAGCAATATAATTTTACTATTTAGTAGTTTAGTTTCCCTAGCTTTTATAATAGTAAGATTTGCGCTGTTTTCTATATAGTTAGTACGTATCCTAGTTAATATAACGCATTAAAGATATTAGTGACTTAGTTATTCAAAATGGACTATAAGCGTTTTTATATAATGTTTAGAATGCTATCGATATTTAGCACTTTATATAGACTAATCTTAGCTATTGCCCTAGTTACCTCTTTGATAGAGATATCCAGATTATTTATATATCTTGCATTAGGATTTAGCGTATCCTCTTTCTAAATTTTTAAAACTAGTAAGAAAAAGTATTAAAGTAGCTTAGTTGCCTTAATATTATTGCTTTTAAGCTCTATATTTTAGCTTTTACTGTTAGTAACTATAGTAAGGATATTGCTAAATGCTGATAATTATAGGTTAAAGTATCTAGCTGCTTTTCAGATATTGTCTATCTGTGCTAAAAAGTTGTTTTAATGTTGTCGCTTTTTGTTATAGATGCTTTTATAAAACTAGTATTTAGTATGCCTAGCTTAGTATTAACTTTCTTCTTTATCTAGTCCTATTGCTCTTAGCGCATTATTCCAGTTCTGTTATTATATGTATTTGTTATAAAGCTTTGTAAGCTTGTTATCCTATTATGCTTTTATATATAGGGATTCCTTTACTACTAGGCTGTAGTCCTACATATATTGGCTTATTACGTTCTGGATCTCTATAATTGCTTAATTGAGTTTAGTTGTATTATCAATATTAGTTACTAATAGTTGCTATTTATTAAATGCTTTAGTAGCTTTTTCCTAATCTGTTTTCTTAAAGTTATATTTGGTTTCTAATAGGGTAATTGTTATAATTTTTTCAATTTGAAATATTATAGCTTTATAGTCCAATCTATATTAGATTAAGTAGATATTACATTTAGTAACTTGGTTTTCAAGCGTATTAGACACTAATATAAGGTTAATAGTTATTCTAAAGCGTTTTTAAGAAAATATAATAGTGCTGCTTAATAAAGCTAAGAAAATATTATACTAGTGCATCTATTAGAGTACTAGCTTACCTTCTCCTTTATATTGTAATTGTAGCATATTGATTCCTTTTTATACTAAGTTATAGCAATTAAAGTCGCTCCCTATTACAATAGGGAGGTTTCCTCTATACTTCCTTTTAGCTTTATAGATAGTGTTGCTTAACACTGTAAGTTTAGAAGTACTTAACTCCCTTAAGTCCTACTTAGAGAGGGCGTATTAGCTACAGCCTAGGATATAGATTAACGTAATGAAAAGGTGTCCTATTAAGGTAATAATGACCCCTATAGTTATATCTAGCAATTATATAGGGAATTAGATAAATAAAACGTTTTTATAAATATATAATAGCAACTAGAACGCATAATGCGTTAGTCCCTCCTATTAGATAGACAGCGTTACAGTGTTCTAGCACTAATGTTAAGAGATATATAGCTTGCTATTAATATTAGCAATGCTTAATTTAGTAACTATAATTACTATAAAGTGATTAATAAATTAGTTATTAAAAAGGCTAAGTTAAACTAGGGATTATCTATTTATATTTATTAATAGGAAACTGATATCTCTTATTATATATTGCTTATAGTGACTTCTTATCTAATTTATTAGCTAATAACAGTTTGCTATTTTGTGTCTTTATTATAAGTGGCCTAGCTAATATGTTATCTATTTTTACAGATTCTATTCATTTTATTACAGTATGTAAAGCATTTTGTATCTATTGCTATATATAGTCTGCTATATACTGCACATTTAGGGGCTATAGCCTTGTAATTATTTATTTTATAATTCTCTATATATTTGCTATATTTCGTTAGTTAGCTGCATTTAGCCTAATAATAGCTATATTTGTTACAGTTATAGCATCTCTAAAGGCGTTAGTGCTTTTTATACTTACTAACCTACGCTATATTTCTATTAATCTTAACCTATTATTTAGCAAGGGCTTATTAAGCATTTTTGGCTATAACTAGATAGACTACTATTAATTCAGCCAGTTTTTCCCTTTTAGATAGCTAGAACGCCTTAATAGCATCTATAAACTTATTTTTAGCTATAAATATTGTTAAAAACTCTAAATGGATTATTCTAATATCTAATACTAGAACTGCTGCTCTAGGTGTATTATTAACTTTAATTAGGAAATAATCCTCTTTGTAAGTTCAGGCTATATTAAATACTTAATAAACCTATCTATTATTTAGCTGCAATTATATTGCGTCTTTTCTATTTTAGATAATAACCTTTATAAATCTCGCTTTTATTTAAATTCCTTTAATAGTAATTATATATATTAATAGCTAGAATGCAATTGCTTTCTTAATTTTTTCTATTATAGTTTTGCTATTTATAGCTAGCTCACATTATTTAGCTAGCACTTAGCTAATATTGATTATAACTCCTAGGAATTGTTGTAGCTTCTTTAAGGAAGTTAGTAGAGTTAATAGCGTTCCTTTTCTTATAGGAGGTTAAATAGCTAACAACAACAGGTTAACTAATTTCAATACTGCTAAAGCATATAAGGTTAATAGTAATGCTGCTATATTAGAGTTAGCTAGGGACAATAGGCTTAACTATTTAAAGATTAAAAGGACTGTTCTTCCTTTATTAATACTAGAGCTAATAGTTCTAATCTTTATATTAAGGACTTTAATATTAGCTTTTAAATTTATTAATTTAGCGCTTATTATTTTAAATTCCTTTTTAAGCTTTTTAATTCTTTTTTTAAGCTCCTTAAATTCTATAAGCGTATATTTAAGTCTTATTTTTATAATGTTAAGCTTTGCCTTAGCTGTATTAAGCTTTTTTATAATAATGTTAAATAATGCTATTAGAATAGTATTCTCCTAGTAGAGAGCCTTATTCTGAATCTTAAGAATCTCTATCTAGTTCTGGAAAGTCTTATTCTGACTTTAAAAAGTCTTATTCTGAATTTAGAAAGTCTTATTTTGAATTTTAAATTACTTAAGCATTTTATTAAATTTGCTATTTTAAGCGTTTATTGCTTTTTTAATAAAACGTTTCATTATATCTTTAGTAAAGACAGTGTTATTACTTAGATTAAGAGAGCGGATAGACTGAATCAGCTCTCCGCTTCTCTGTTTAGTATTTTTAGCTCTTCTTTAAGCTGCTGTAGCAGCAATGAGTCCCTTTAGGGACAACGCTAGTATGACTATAGCAACAGCGTTGTTAGGATAATTAAGCAGCACCCTTTCCCTTAACTAAAATTGATGGGAGTTGGATAGTCCGACTTGTCAAGTCGGCTTGTAGATGAGACTGTCAATAAAATGATGAATATCGATAAAAAAATATCGATGTCGGTTCCGTCCCGTGGGCATGTGTATTTATTAACCAGTATAGCTCATAAACCTTTCATGCACAGCTTCAATAAAACGCTTGACCTATACAAACATGTACAACCATCATTTTTTCTCAATCTGGGTACTTTGGCCGAGTGGTCTAAGGCGGTGGTTTTAAGTAACAATTCTGAACACCACTATCGAGAGATGCGTGGGTTCAAACCCCACAGGTACCATCATATCTTTTACTTGTTGTTGGCACCTTAGAGTTTAGGGCCACTTTTTGCCTTGCGGCTTTCATTGCCAAGCCGCGCTGCGACCTCACCCACTTTCTGGTAGCAAGCGGCTTCTACGGCGATAGTGGTCCCTGACAATCGCCAAACACTTGCCTAGGTATTCTCCTAAGATTGAAATATCACAAATCTACCTCATGTTTTGACAGTTCCTGGGTTTAGCAACCTGACAAGTATGCAGAATGACAATTCGGGTGTTGCTGAGGGACTATCCTCATCGGGCTATTGCCCTTGCGACGGATGAACATATCCTTACTTTCAGACACAGTCCATCCACCGCCGGAGCTTCGTCTGTGTCAGTGAACTCAATACAGAGCACTTCTTCACAGCCAAGATGCATGGTCGAGTTCTCGTCAATTAAAGATAGCGATACGTCCGACTTTCGCTCCCTAAGTTCACTTTCAATCCTGGGAACACTTGGCCTCATCACAATCGACAGTGATATTTTCCTATGTGTTGTCAACGGCTCGCAGAGAGTTGCTGCCGTCAGGCCAGGGGAGAATGTCCAAAAGATAACGTCTGTTGAGTTTCGTGCGTGGTCCTTTCGCCCCTTTGCTTGAGCACGTGCTTACTTCGACTTAGACTGCATTAACAAGTCTGACTATGACTCTCTGCTGCTTGATCGAATCAACAATTATTCCGTGGATAATGTTGAGGAAGATGGTTTCGATCGCTACGAATCGCGAGAGCCGACGCTTGAGCATCCGTGTTTGGCTCTCAAGAAGCTGCTCAGCGGAGGAAGTTTCTATTACAGCGCTGACTTTGACCTGACAAGGCGCCTACAAGATCGGTACGTTTGGTGATGCAAATCGAGTGCTCTGAGCTAACTGCATCATAGAGCCGCTGATTCAGCTACTGTAGCATTTGATAGTCTTGACACTGGTTTTCTTTGGAACTCGTTCATGATTCAACCACTTGTGAGCTTTCGCTCTAGATTGTCTGAGCATGAGAGAGCGGCCCTAGACTCGTCACGAATCTTGACTTCCGCCATTCGAGGATTTACCATGACAATCACGGTGCCGGCAGCATCCTCACCAGTGAGCACCAGCTTCTCTGGCCTTCCCTCTACACTAACCCTACTTTCTCGTCTTTCTTCGAGGCGCGCTGGTACCCGCTTCAACTCGCGCGGTATCGATGACGATGGCAACGTGGCTAATTGGGTGGAGACCGAGACGGTCTTCTGCACACCTAACGGGATGTGTTTTTCATATGTTCAGACTCGTGGCAGCGTGCCCGCTTTCTGGGAACAACAAGCCGGCTTCACACCAGGTCAACAGAAGATCCAAATCACCCGGTCAGCAGAAGCGAGTCAGCCTGCTTTCGACAAGCACATATCGGAGTTGGAGGTCAATTATGGAGCAATTCATGTAGTCAATCTACTGAGCCGTGAGAAGTCTGGCGAGCTGGAACTCACCAAGAGATATCGATACCACGTCCAAAACAGCCCGCTGAACCAGCCTTCCGAGGACAAACCTGCCGATCACGAACTGCTAAGAGAGACGGACTACGACTTTCATGCAGAGACCCGACAGCTTGGATACGAAGCAGCCAAAGGCATCAGTGCTTACATTCAGGATTCTATAGACTCATTCGCCTACTACTTGACGGAAGAGGTCGAAGACGAGCCGAAGGGAGCAGACGGACACCATAAACGATCCATGGCCCGAAGAGCAATGACTATTCTGCAACAGGAGGGCGTCTTCAGAACAAACTGCCTTGATTGTTTGGACAGGACGAACTTGGTCCAGACGATTATAAGCCAAATGGCGCTCCAAGAATTTCTTACCCAACGCGGCGAGCGAAGAGCAACGAATGATTTCTGGGTCCGGCATGGAACACTCTGGGCCGACAATGGCGATGCTTTGTCTCGAATCTATGCAGGTACAGGGGCATTGAAGTCGTCCTACACTCGACACGGAAAGATGTCGATTGCAGGTGCACTGGCGGATGTGCGCAAGAGCGCTACGCGGCTGTACATTAACAATTTTGAAGACAAGGGAAGACAGAACACCATCGACATGCTTCTTGGCCGTCTGATGGGTCAACTGCCCGTACATCTATACGATCCCATCAACGATTGGGTCTCGGCAGAGATGACTAAGAGAACATCCGAGTACTCCTCCACAGACACCATCCACATACACGTGGGAACCTTCAACCTGAATGGCAAGACTACTGGTCTTGGCGAGGACCTCTCGCCTTGGCTCTGCCCGCCCGTCGAGCCTTCGCAGCAGCAGCCAGAAATCGTTGCTATCGGCTTCCAAGAGATCGTGGATCTCTCTCCGCAGCAAATCATGTCGACTGATCCCTACAGGAGACAGGCATGGGAAGAGGCCGTTAAGAACACTCTCAATGTCAATGCACAGAGCAATGGCTCGGAGGAATATGTCCTCTTGCGAGGCGGTCAACTGGTAGGAGCGTCGCTGTCAGTGTTCGTCAAGGCGAGCATCCTTCCATACATCAAGAACGTCGAGGGTGCTCTAAAAAAGGTAAGGCCCGTTCTGAGGCCAGAACAAGACAAGGTAGCGAGCTAACATGAAGTTCAGACCGGTATGTCGGGAATGGCAGGAAACAAAGGCGCAGTGGCAATCCGTATGGAATACGCCAACACATCCATCTGCATGGTGACAGCTCATTTAGCAGCGGGCTTTGCCAACTACGAAGAGCGTAACCAAGACTATCGAACGATCAGCCATGGCCTTCGCTTCCAACGAAATCGTACAATTGAAGACCATGACACTATAATCTGGCTGGGCGATTTTAACTACCGCATCGGCATGAGCAATGAACGAACGCGCGCGTTGGTGAAAGACGGCGATTTGGATACGCTATACGCGAATGATCAGCTCAATCTTCAGATGGTACACGGCAAGACCTTTCCCTTTTACAATGAAGCCCGCATCACCTTTCTTCCGACCTACAAATACGATAACGGCACCGATAATTACGATAGCAGCGACAAGGCACGGATCCCAGCGTGGTGCGATCGTGTGCTGACAAAGGGCAACAACATTCGTCAGATCAATTACGAGACGGCGCCTTTGAAATTCTCGGACCACAGACCCGTATGGGCAACGTTTCAATGCACGGTCACAGTGGTTGATGAGAAACTCAAGAATAGCATCAGCGAGCAAGTGTACCGCAAACGTCGCGCAGTTGTGGGTGACAGCACGGCGACCACGCACGCCGAGGAGACGGATGATGAAGACTTGTTGGGATACGAGTCGATCGAACCGGGCCTCCCACCTGCGAGTTCAGACCGCAGGAAGTGGTGGCTCGACGGTGGACAGCCCGCCCGATCCATAGTCAAGGGGCCTCCCGGCCCAGAGTACACACACAATGCCGCTCGTCCAGCCAACCCATTTTCGCCGACCACAGAGCCTGATTGGGTGAAAGTGGACAAGCCAACACCACCAGCATCCCGATCACTTTCCGTACGGGAGAGGGGTGCCACCAATGGCGCCTTGAACAAAAACACGCCGCAAAGGCTCCGTAAATTGCCACCACCGTGGCAGGGTGATACTAGCTCCAATGCCGCTCAGTCCTCGAGTAGCATGCCGTCGGACCAGGCACCTTTGCAGCCAAGTCGTACGATGTCGGTATCTTTGCCGCACAGGGTACAGCCAACTCCACATCTGAAGCAAACACTTCGAAAAGCAGTGCCTCCAGTCGTGCCTAAGAAGCCGGCATTACTGCGTTCGGAAAGTGGCAACACTGCGGCAGTGACTCAGGAGCGATACAGAGATGAGTCTCCGCCACAACAGCCACCGAGGAGGCAGATGCAGGCGGGTACAGCCAGCAGTGTGGCGGCGAATAGCGTGCCGTTTCCTCCGCCGCCGAGGCGAGCAGCAACCATTGGGGTGCAGCAGGGTGTGAACAGGAGTGCATCAGTGGCTTCATCTGCGATGTCTGCACGGGCGCCTTCCCCTCCACCGTCTAGAAGAGCGCAAAAGGCACGAGTCGGGTCTGCACAAGAAGAAAAGGCGCCTGCGCTACCAGCCAGGGTGGGGATGATTGCCGGAGAATCTCGAGGGGCTTCGAGGAGTGCAAGTCCGGCGGGATCTTTGATGGATGATGATGAGAGCGAGACGGCGATGCAAGGGTGGGCGAGCTTGAAGCCATCGTGAAGGGATTGATGCGGGGAATAGGTACTTTGCTTGAGAGGATGACAGAGAGCAAGCAGGATAGCGAGCATAGTGCGTGCATTTTTGCGAAGAATGAAACAAGCGACAAATATCAATAGCTTCCACCTCTTCCACCTCTCCTGTAGTCCGTTATGCCATGATTTGTGCTCTGCTCACTTTTGGACTTGATTGACAAGGTTTGGATAATAGTACATACAGTACACACCCAGGTTGAAGGCCTCGATGGTGGTAATTGAGTAAGTAGGTAGGATTCAAACCTATACATATGTGTTTCCCTCTCGGTGCCGCCAGGAACGAGTCTAGGCACAGTGGCTCCTCCTCCCATGTCCCACTGGACGACCGCGACACCAAGCATTTTTCGCAGTTCAAAGAAGCTCATTCATGCCGGCTCCTCTCGACCTCGAGCAGACACAAGGATCCTTCCCCCAGCAACAGCAAGCCTCATCCGACATGCTCTGCAGCAAACCACCCCTTCACCCACCGCACCTAATGACTCAAAGTAGACCTCCTCTTACTCCGTCTCCTCTTAAGCAAATTCCTCCCATTCCTCGTCCTCAATCGGCTCAAAAACCCATGTCTCCTCTTCCGCACAAAGTGACTGGGATCAAACGTATCTCTCTTGGGCCCTCTACTCTGCAACAGGTTTCCTGGCGCCGACACCGAGGGTGCGAGGAGAGCGGTGGCGCTGGGAGTGTCGAGGATTGTGGTGAGGGAGAGGTGAGTGGAGGGGGGGCTGGGAAGGGTGGGTCGTTTGGGGGCGCGGAAGGTGGAGAGGATGTTGGAGAAGGAGGCGAATGT